GAACCAGCTAATCAAGCTCTTACTAGGCATAGGAACTTCCAGTCAGGTGTGTTGAAGCAAGTTGGAGCTAAACTCTGTGGGACATCGGCCCTCCAGGACCGAGTTTGGACAGCCCTGTCTTGGAGTCTTCACTAATGAGCTGATGAGTTTAATCAGGTGTGTTTGAATAGGGAGACATCTAAAATGTGCAGTGTTGGGGGATCTCCAGGACCAGGATTGGGAACCATTGCCATAGAAGAACCATGTTGGGTTCCTCAAAGAACCTTCATGTCCTTTTCCTCATGGAACCATCGATACCAATAAAGAACCTTTAGTTTCAAGAGTGTAGAACCACCATTTGGTTCCCCAAAGAACATTTCAGTGAACAGTTCTTAAAAAAATCATTTTTTTCTTAGTGTGAAGAATAATCTGAAGATTTTTTTTTCACTATTAAGAATCTTTTGTATAATGGAAAGATTCCATGAATATTAAAGTTTCTTCATGGAATCATAAATGCCAATAAATGACCTTTATTTTTAAGAGTGTAAATCAAATTGCACTGCATTCAGGATAAACATTTTTATCAGTTCAATACACTCGCTGGGAATCAAACCCACAAATTTGGGGTTTGATAGCAACATGTGCTTTCTTGAGTGAATTTTATTACCTGTCCAGCTGTTTTTGTAGCGTGGGTCTCCATCTTTCCACACTGGGAACCGTTTTGTATTCCATGTCTGATGTTGATTGAATCTTGATTTTGAGTTGCTTCTGTCAACTTGTCCTTATGCAGAGTTAAAAAAAAAAAACCCAGGGAAATTGAAAAGGGAATTATTTGGAGAAAACTGAAAATGATTTGAGAGTACAGGCACTGGAAGCCAAACTAGAAGCTCATTTGACTATAAAAGTCACAAACTTTAAAGCCTACAACTGGTGGAGAGATTGAGAGGCGGGGCATGTGACCGGATCAAACATTTAGCACACTTTCTGCTGTGTTACCCCAAATCCTGTGCATGTGATGGTCAGCTGTCCATGTGACCATACTTTTGGCTTTACTGCATAAAGGAGGGGCTTGCGTTCAGAGCACATAGGCTAGCTAGCAGAACACAAAATCAGAATGCAATGCTACAATTATGAATGATTGAAACTCAAAACAGCTGGTGCTGCACCAGTCAAAACTATTGCATTATGGGTATTAAAGACATTACAGGAGTGCTCTTGGGCTATGCTGTATTTTTTTTTAAGTTATAGAATGTATAATTTCTTATTTGATCTGATTAACTAACGCATGTTACAACTAATCTTGGAAAATTCCCAGACATTCTCATGTGCCACATGAACTTTTAATGAATATAAGGGAGTCAAGGAGATCAGCATGTTGTCATGCAGCATTAAATCTGCCCGTAGGGTTTAGGAATTTTAGTTGGTGCAGGCTTTAACTGAAATAATTAACTAATATAGTTAATGTTTTTGTTTTGACTTTCCTGACATCTAGCATTCTTTTCAATGCAGTTAAAAAGAACCCTGCACTAAACATAAACACTGGTAAACATAATTCCATTTTATAACCAGGGAATACAAGAACATGATGCTGTGGCTACTGGATACAATTAATATTACATAATACAATAAATATAAATAAATAATATTAAAATGTTTACTTGCTTGTTAAGGCCACAGACAAACAGGTCACTAGCAGGATTCTTGAAAGTAGCTTCATTGCGTCATTTGTTGTTGGGACCTTAACAAATTTCAGTCTCAGAGGCATCGCTCTTTATATAGACACGTCCTACATCTGGGGCTGAATAGCTCCTCTCATCACTTAAGACCATGCACACACACACACACACACAAACACAATTTTCATGGTGATACTGTGCAAGAGTTATCAGATGAAGATTCCACCAATTATTAAGATTAAACTAATTTATTAATTGGCCTGACCAGTCATGCATGTGGAGTTTGTAGAGTCTGATTTTTACTTAAAATATCCAAAAAACCATAGATATTAAAAATAATAATAATAAATAAAAAAAGATTAAAACGTATATAATAGTTCGGAACCATAGTGCTGGAAACAACCACTGAAGAACATTTTTTTTAAAGAGTGTAGTAAAATGGTTGATTTGACATCTTGAGACTTATTTTTTTAGGGTATCTTTGAGGGTCACATTGAGATTACAAACTCTTTTCCAAGCTGAGCTTATTTTAATGAGGAACAGAGTTAGAGAAGGCTTACATGTGATATCAGTGGACCTGCATGTGGCTGGACATCTGATGCTTTTATAAAAGATTTGTTTCTTAATTGGGTCAGTGGCAATAAGCATCTTATGCTTTTTTTTTGCCACATCTGAACATTTTTAATACCCTAACAAATGCAATAGACAGTTTTGAAGTTTGGTCCTACAAATAAACATGCATGTTAAATTTGAGATGCGATTTAAAAACAATGTTATATGCAAATGAAGGGAAATTGTGTTGGATTTACTGTAGATGGCTGGTACAGTATCAGAGTCATGCGAGATCAAGGATGGCTTAACTATGTAAATATACTAATGAGGATGGGGGGGATGCTCCTAATTTTCAAAAATATTTGCACAATGCAAAAAAAATAAAAAAATAAAAATCTTAATGGTACATTACTTTTGCTTCAGTCATTATGCTTTACTATTTTTATCTTGATTTTGGGTTGAAATATGAAATCTGAATTATGACTTAACTATAATTCAGGCAATGTTCCATATTAAGGCGTCAATAAAACAATAAGTTACACATTACGGCTAGACTAACATGCCTGGAATGGAAAGTTAATCAGGATTACGGCAGCTCGTGACTTTTTGTTTTCCCCGGACTTTTGGCTTTTCAACATTCTTACAAAAAAAACAACAACTGATTTTCAGAATTGTGTTCTAAATAGCCACATTTAACGTTCCTCGTTTATTCTTGTATCTCTTTATTCCAGCACTGAATTCAAAGGCAAACCATGAAGGTGTTGACATCAGGTGGAAGCAAAACTGGTCAATCTGTTGTATAAAAATCTGAAAAGTGAATTTACTGCAAGAAGCATGAATAGAACGTCTGTCACATTATTACAATTTACACTGCAATCGGTAAGAAAAACACCCACAAGTATGTTTCTCATAAAACATTATTGTACATCAACCACATTTATAAAAAGGAACTAAGTTCACAAAAATGCAAACCTTAACTTCTGACAAGAAACACCCCAACAATTCAATTCAAAACCTGAGAGTTCATGTGGTACCACTAAAACACAGAAAACAGTATATACATTTAATAAAATGCTATATTCTTGAGACGGACATACACAGAAAATACAGTGGTGACATGAATTGCATTAGACCCACAGAACGCCTTCTCTTCAGTCTTACTGAACCAAAACTAGAAATCAGCAAACACAAAACTAAAACATGATGTTAAACCTTCAAATTCTACTTAGGAACGATAACAGAAACATGGACAGGAAATGAGGAGTGCATCATATAGGGAATATATGCCAAAATTGTGAAAACAGATCTTTTATAGCTTATTATAGTGTTTCATATAATTTCACAATGTTCCTGAAATGTTCCTCAACATCAACAGGCACAATCAGGAAAACGATAAAAGGACGGCAGAATCACTGCTAACATCTTATTAAAAGAACGTGACATTTATTAAAGTAACATTTACTCGGACAGTAGAAACTCAATTTCATGCTTCCACTTTTTTGTCTGTAAATTGATCAATGAAAGTCATGCCATTAATTAAGAGGACAGTTAGAGAAGTAATCTGCATTATTAACTGCATACAAAAACATGATCAAGCAAGAGACAATCTTGTTAAAGGTACAAACTGATTGGCTCAAAACATTTAAGTTCCCACCAGTTTTAATTTCATGAATCAGGATCGGATGGCATATTGTCATTCCCAAACACGCAAAAAAAATGACCTTGATACAATTACAAGGTTAAACAAAAATGGAGGTATTACAACAAATAAACATGAGCGGTTAGCATTTTCACCATTCGCTCTACAAGTGTCGATTTGAGTGTTCAAATGCAGACAGATAACAAATAGCTAACAGACCATATAAGAGACGGCATATTTAAAGAGATAGTCATCCAAAAATTAAGATATTTTGGGGTCCAAACAACATCAAACACCATAGACTTTCATTATATGGACAAAATAAGAATACATTTTGGCAGAAGAAAGTCATATAGGTTTGGAAAAACATTACAGAATTTACATTTTTTGACGAACTATCCCTTTAACGTTAAAAAATTAAGCTATGATGGATAATAGTACCACCATTTTAATGGGAATCATTTATAAATGCCGACAGAATGAATCTTATACTGTTGTCCTTTTTTTTCAACTGAAGAAGCATCAAAAAATGTTAGCTTCACAGAAAATTGGTGGAAAGATGCTTCATTTGGATTGTATTTTTACCCATCACAGATTAATTTTCACTCAAGTTTAAAGGCCATTTATACGTCAGTTACATTATAAAATGACAAATAGCCTGCATCTGACAGCTTTTGTGTTTGTGTTGCTGGAAAAAAAAAAAAACTGAAATAAAAGAATGAAAATGAGTACAAGCTAGACATACTGTTGTGTATAGTGTATCATATATGAGCATGATATTCTACAACCATTTAAAACAATGACTGCATCTGACTCAATCTAGAATCGTAGGTCTAGACATACTTTCCCAAAATTAGGCATATTCTTGTTTTTTTTGGAAAAATGTAAAAATAGTCAATTTTTAGTCATTTACAGAATCAATACAAAAAACAACACAAATATTTACCAAACAAAATCAAAACAATACTTCAGTGACTATTCATATGTTAGAAACATACATTTTGATGCAAATATTGGGGATTTGTATGTCCATTCTCAAAACATACATGACATATCAAGTAAATACAGACTGGGAAGCAGGTTACAACAGTATAAAAATAAATCCAGACATCGTCTGACGCATTCAAGCAACGACTGCTAATAACTATGGTTTTAAAAGGCTAATAATAAATACCATACTCGATAAAAAAGACATATATTGTTAGCAAGACTTAAATCCATACATTAAACAAAAACATTTTCCTTTTTGCATTTACTTTTTTTAAAGAGGACAATGGATCCCTCTCATTCAGTAATACATACCCTTAATTCCATTATGCTTTTCTGTTAGAGCTGATATAAAACTGAGCAACATCAAAAATAGCATGTACAATTTTTTTTTCAATAAATAACATTTTTGCTTTTTTTTTTTTTTGCAATATTTTGTTCTATTATAACATTATTGCCACAGATGGGTGTTGTGAACACACTCGCTCGCACAAAACGCAAGACAACATGAGGGCAAAGATTCACCAGGTACATTTTTTGCCTTACATTACTCTGCTGTCAAACTCAATATCACCAAGTTAGATGCACAAAAGGAACCCAGGGTTCCCAAGACGACTGATTTGATCAGCGTATGTGGACGGATGAGCGGAAAGGGGTTTATTTGGGCAGTGGCGGCAGAGGTGGAGGTGGTTCTGAGGGTAAAGGTGGTGCTTGGGTTCCTCCACGAGCGCTACTGCTATACCGATACTCTCCGTACTGAGAGCGATAGTCAAACATCTGAGGTTGCGCCGGCTGCACCCCCTGCGCACTGAGCAGCGAGTTCAACATGTCAAACGTGTCCTGGTACTCGTTGGACTGGCTGCCCGTATTGTGCCCGTTCGTGTCGGCTTTGTCCAACTTGGAGTGTGAATAGTTTCCCTGATGGTGTGAGAGGCTCAGCGAGGGAAGGATGTCGGACCCCTGACCCATCGCGTGGGAGGGCACTCCAGGAAGCGTCGGCAACTGAAATGAGTTTCTGGACGATTTGCTGACTTTCGAGGAATGGCTGCCAGAAGAAGGATCTGGCAGGTGGGTCCTTTTTCGGGATGAGGATGACGAAGAACTCGTTCGCATAGAGTCACCTGAGACCTTTTTGCTACTTCCTGAAGCGCTGGCAGAACTCGAGTGTTTTTGTGCTGAGGATGAGGAAGACGATGCTGATAAAGAGCCGGTGGTGGAAGAGGAGGAGTGGTGGTGGTGATGGTGATGGTGGTTGGACCGCTCTCGGTGCTTCTCGCGACTTTTCCCGTCTTCTCCGGACCCGCTACGCCTTTCTGGAACCCGAATCCGCACTTTAATATCCGGCTCGGATCCTCGACTGCTGCTACTGCTGCTGTTCCCGCCGCTGCTTGATTGGCCTGGCACTGCCAAGCGCATTTTTATGGAACGCCGTTCCGTTCGCTCGTCCAGTGGGATCTTCAGGACGATAGGTGAGGGGTTGTTTAGGTCTGAGGAACTAGAGCTGGACTGCTGGTGGTGATGGTGCTTCTCCTTCCTCTGCTGGTTCATGAGGGCCTGGGTGGCAGTGGCGTATCCCTGTTTCACACTAGCCTCCATGTTCTCCAACTTCCGCTTCTGCGCCGCCAGCTCGTCTGCGTGCTTCACCCGATACTCATTCAGAGACAACTTAGCAGGCGCATGAAGCTCATTGGTGGTGGGCTGCTCCTTGGCAGGAGGCTGCCAGTGTTGGGATGAGGGAGCAACGCTGTGGTCGTCAGCGGAGGAGTCCATGGAGGAACCGGAGGGTGGGGCGGAGAGGCTCATCAGCCCGGCCAATGTACTGTCGGATGATGCCATGGAGATCATGTTCAAAATGGCTTCTGACTGATCACCATCTTGCAATTTTGATTTCTTGGTAGTTTGTCCTGCAGCCTGAGGCACAACAAACAAGAAAATAAATTATGAAGATGAAATTTGTATGATCAAAAGAGACTACTGAGCGAAACTTTTTATTTTTTGGAAAGAAAGAAATTAATGATTTTATTCAGCAGGAATGCATTAAATTGTTATTGTATTATAAAAGATTTCTATTTCAAATATATGCTGTTCTTTTGAACTTTCTATTAATAACAATTAAAAATTTTAATCAAAATAAAAAAAATTAAAATAAAAAAAATCTTAGCAACCCCAGTACGTGGGTAAAAAATAGCTACTTGGGTTGATATCTAATGCAATGAAATGTATATATTTTAGTCTTCTTAGGTGGCCAAATACTTTGTGAGCCCACTGCATTTGCAGTTATCTAGATATAACAAATTACTTACTTTCCAGTTTCTGATGCGTTTTAAGCGGCTGGGCGTCTTCTCCAAGATCTGCAGGAACTCATGAGTGAGCTCTGTGAAATCATTATCAAAATCTTTAGGACTTGAGGAAAACATATTATTTGAAAAATTCATTTAAAAAGCTATATAGTTTCTTTTCCTGGCTAAGACCCAAAAATTTATTCTAAGGTTACAATGCAGTCCTTCAAATGGTTGTTAATTGAAAATTACAGTAAAACTGTTTTAAATGTAAACTGAACTAAATAAACAATGTTTTTAAACAATGAAACAAACAAAACAGCCATCACATACTCATCTAAATATCTAGTATTAAACTTTCCCTCTATTTAATAGACAATTGCCATTTCAAAAGAAAATCACTTGCAAAGACATACCATCCAACAGCTCAAGGGTCACCGTGGGGTCAACATACTCCCACCAGTGCTTGCCGTCTGTGGAAACTGGAATCTCCCAGTTGGACCATTTGCAAGCCAGATGAATACAAACACAAGCTACGATGGGAGGGCTGTACTGCAGGCAGAATGTAGTCAAGTGGAGACTGCAGCAAAAAGAGCACCCATGAACACCAAACATGAGAACAAACAAAAAAACATTTAATAATATTGTTACTCTACTGCAATAAATACACTAGTATTCAAACGTAAGCCCTTTACTTCAAAACTAATGTCAATTTTAGCATTTTTAATCGAATTTGTAGAAAAAAATGTAGCCTTTGATAAACTGATCAAGCCAGATTACAATTCTGGTAGTTTACACATCTGAACATGGCGTTGAAAATCAACATACCTGTTTGTTGCCATGAAATATGAGGTTTGAGCCAAGTCCTTACTCGCTGGAACAATAAAGGGAAGCTCATAATCAAGACGTGAAATCTTTGATCTTGGTGAGCTAGAAGTACCCATAACTGAGCAATACGAAGCACAGTTTATAGTGAGCAGGTGGTTCTCACCTCGCACAAGCTGGGTACACTTGACAACATGTGTGTGGGGATGATCAATGGTGATCTCAAAAGCTGCAAGGAAGAAAGCAGATGAGAGAGGGACTTTTAGTTTTTGATTTGAACTATAATGACGTGAAGCCCCCACACACAATTTACGTGATGAGTGAGTGAATCACAAACATGGGTCTTCCTGTACTTGACTGGTGAAATATCTTTGAGCTCGAAGCAAGTGGCCTGTAGGGCGATTTGGTTATAGTCAAAATTTTCAAAACAAATGACCATTATGGGCACCGGAAGAGAATTTTCCAAACTGGAGGGTAATATGTCAGTATAATATGTCAGCAGTTGATACCATTACCATCTCCTGATTTAATATGCTGTGAAACTATTACGCTATTGCACACAATCCTAAAAAAAAGTAGATATTCACAGAAACAATTTCATAATAAGAGAGATTTGAAGACTAAATGCCACCGAAGATAAAAATGGTTTCTGCGAGTCTTATGAAGGCAAATTTAAAACAGTTTAAGACCAAGTAAAGAAAATGTTAAGAAAATTGAAAGGAATAAAAAAAAAAAATATGGCCTATAATGTAAATGTCTTGTGTTAACAATGCTTCAGAGTTAAAAAAAAAATAAATTGATCTCCATTTAAATTTTACAAAAAAACAAAATGCTTGGATAGCTCTGATTCTGACCAGCTGAATATGAAAATACATTTTTACTGTACCTTCCGATATTCATTTTTTGCAGGGCACGCAACACTTAATGCCATGACTTATGAATTTAAGACTTTCTGCTTCAATTTAAGACCATTTTTGGCCTTTTTTGTGGAAGGGTGAATTACAACTTTTTAAGACATGCAGAAACACTGTAAAACAGTTTTAGTTGACAGTGTCAAATTATGATTTAAGCAGATTGAGGTTGGTACTTGGTACTGATACTGCAGAAAAAAATGGCACTGTTACAGTTTTTTTATTTAATACCAGAAGTTTTGACATTTCCAGTGGACTCAAGATATACTAAGATTAATACGCAAAATTGATAGCACTGTGAAACCACACACAGGAAGGGTGAATTGCCAGATTGACAAGGAAATAAAAATGACAAAGGTTACAGTAGTATGGCTCTTAAAGAAGAGCTTGTAATAGTCCTGTCGACTCCTGGAAATTAGAATGAGAATAAATGTGGTTATTCGGTGCATCTCTCTAGTATGGTGATTCACTGACCCATTCTTGCCCTTCCAAACTTACCCAGGGTCTGGAGTATAATGCTCTCAAGAATGACCAGGTCTTGGGCTTGTTGCAGGTATGTCTGAGATTAAGAGGACAGGCAGGTTACTCACATGGTCTCTTGGTCATGACTACATTCTCACTTGTTCTGATCAAATTATTATGACCCTCTTTTTGCACCAAGCCAATCACCTTATCATACAAGCTATGCCCTTTCAATTCATTAATATGATAGTTAGTGAAGACTAACACAACAGATAAAGACTGAAGCAAGTTTACACACATCCAACCTAAGAGGAAAAAAATGAGATCAATTCAGCAGAAAATATAGAAATATGTGGATTACACAACCTGTTCAAAAGAAAAGCAATGTTATGGTTGATGATGTGGTTCAGCTGCTTGTGATTAAATTTTATATTTTAGATTAGTTGATACAAATATTGATCTAATATCAGTTAAAAAGTGAGAGTGAAGAACTTGTGTCAGGCCAAAATATAAACAGACAAAAAAAAAAAAATGCATTTATGTTTCTCAAAAAAACAGAAAACCCACTATTCATTGAGGACATTGGAAAGTGAACTATTTCTTTGTGGAATTATTCCTTTCATTTACTCTCCCTCATGTCAGTTCAGACCTGTATGACTTCAGTGGAACATAAAAGAAGATATATGAGAAATATCTCAGTATTTTTTTGTTCATACAATGGAGGGTCGTGGTAACCTCCATCTATGTTGGTTTGATTACCAACATGCATGCATCAAAATATCTTATATGTTCCACAAATGTAACAATTTTATACAGGTTTGAAACGACATGAGAGAGTAAATGACGACAGATTTTTTATTTTTGGGCAGAGGTGGAAAGTAACTAATTACAAATACTTTCGTTACAGTACTTGAGTACATTTTTACATTTTTTCTACTTTCTTGAGTATACTTAAATTGTGGTACTTGTACTTTTACTTGAGTAAAATAAAACTAAAGTATTCAACTTCGCTACATTTATTTTTCATCAAAAGTACAAAGTACAAAAAAAAAGAAGAAAATAGACAAAGGAGGCGCCGATGGAGAAACAGAGCGAGCCGGCATTTGACGGGCACTTTTAAAACTCCTGGGGTGGAGCCCTGCGCTTTAGCCAATAACAGACAGGTCTGACGCAGGTGCAAAACCAATCAAAACTTCCAGTTCAGCTGGGGGGCCGAACATGGTTTTGCGCAGCTTGTCAGTGAACAACGGCTCTGTGTAGTAAATGCTGCTCCATGTGAAGGTATGCACTTGATGGAGATTTACCGCTGATTACAGAACCGGCTTCCTGTATAAAATATGTATAAAATAACCTCAACATTAACAACAACATTGAAATAAAAGCGCATTCATTTTTACGTGTATCTGGCTGATAGATCAACCATGATTTATCTGTTAATCAGATGCATTTTAAATCACTTTTTCTGTGTGCGTGCTTTGGATGTGTGAGAACATGGGCGAAGAAACAAGATAGTTTATGTATGATCGGATGTGAGACGATAACGAGACGATGTGAACATGCAGTGCATGTTTCATTCATACTCGAAGCCGGAGGGCGCTCTCGCGCAGAAAGTCCTGAAAGCTCTCGCGCAGAAAGTCCAAAACGGCCTAGTAGAAGTAATATATAATAACTTATGATGTGCAGGAAATCCCTAGTATGGACAAAGGCAAAGCCACTAGAAATGCTATTCCTGTTAAACATACAGTTACCTATTTAGGTGTTATCATACATAAAGATGAGAATGAACGCAGTGTGCGATCGATTTCAAGCCTATAATGAACAAAACTAAAACAAGATTTAAAGGGGTCCTATTATGCTTTTTCACTTTTTGAATTTTAGTCAGTGTGTAGTGTGTATGTTTGGGCATAAAAAAGATCTACAAAGTTACAAATCTCAAAGTCCACTCCAAAGGGAGATATTTCATTTAAAAAAAATCCCTTTTCAAGAACTACAACGAACGGCTCGTTTGGACTACAGCAATGTTTTCCGGGTTTTGTGATGCCACAAAGTGGCCCATTAGAATATCATTAAAATAATTCCCGCCTACGAAATTCGAATGGTTGGGGGGTGGGGAGGGGCGAGGTCGTGGTTAGAACGCTTGGTTGAGTGCATCAGACAAGGTGCGGGTGTTTTTATATCACTGTATTTCTGAAGGAAACTGACTGTCTTCAGAAAATTTTGGATGTCATTTTCATGTCTTCTTGTATGTAATGTCTGATAAAGCAGCATTTGTGAGCGGAGCACTGCTTTGTGTAGTCGTTACCGGGGAAACCTCTATCTCTACCACTCCAACAGCGCTTCCTGCTGCCAGAGAATGAGTTTGCATATATATGCCGCCACAAATAGATAGTTCAAGTCTGTGGGCAACACTGGACTATGGTATAAATAAATTCAACTGTATAACAGTTTCACTGCAATTCATGTTATAATGTTAAACTTAAAGAACAATAAACAAAATACATATGCACTTGTCTGTACTTAGAAAATGCAGTTACTTTTAAGCGGTTGTTGACATCCTATCTAAAACGTGATAACAACAATAACGTTACCACTCTAATATGTCTTGCAATATCCGTGCGTGCAAAGGTTCTGCGCGATCCTCTTGTTCAATATTCTCGGGGTCTGAATCCGGCTCAAATTGATATGGCAATATTGACGCCATCCTTAACTATACCGGAGCAGACGGAACTTGCTGCTTTGGCAAGGGGCGGGGCAGTACTGAAACACAAGCTGTTCACCAATCACAACGCACTGGGACAGCTAACCAATCACAACATATTTTGTTTTTTGGAAGGCGGGCCTTCATCAAACCCGGAACTATTCGAGCCATTTGTGCCAGGCTTGGGAGAAAGGTATTGTAATAATGTAAATTATGTGAAAAATTATGCGTTTTTCAAACCACCAAGCATGAGAGCATGTTCTAGTACACCCCCAAAACAAAATCAAGACTTTTTAGGTGTTATCATACATAAAGATGAGAATGAACGCAGTGTGCTCAATTTCAAGCCTATAATGAACACAACTAAAACAAGATTTAATATCTGGCTTCAAAGAGATTTATCCCTGAATGGTAGGGTTTTACTATCCAAAGCAGAGGGGATATCAAGATCTGTCTATGTGTTGTTAGCTTTAGGGTGCTTTCACACTAGCACTTTTGGTGCGCACCCGGGTTCGATTGATGTCAGAGTTTCGGTACGTTTGGATGATGTAAACGCAGTCTTCCGAACTTGGGTGCACACCCACAAACCGTACCCGAGTCCACTTAAAAAGGGTGGTCTGGGGTATGGTTCAAGTGAACTCCGGTACGGTTCGCTGCTGATGTGAACGCAATCGTACCAAATCACGGAAGTGAACCGCTATTAATGACGTATTATTTTATAAAAATGTGTGTTTGTGTGTGTTTCACTCACTTTCTTTATGAGCGTGACTGACGCGCTGCAAGCAGAGAGCTGTATATCTAATTTCTGTTCCCCTTCAGAGTACTTTAGAGCATTTGCAGTACATTCGTAAGGCAGACGTAAGTGCCGTTATGTACTGAAGCTTTGGAAACAAAACCAACGGTTCAAAAACAAATATAAACGTGAAGAGAGCCTTGCTACGCATTTTGCTGTCTTCTCCTGCGCCATCGTTACTGAGCAACGGGGTAAGCAGCTGCTGGCTTGATGACGCAAACGAACCGCGGTTCGGACCCAAATAATATAACGTGAACACAGTCCAGCGGGAGCAGGGGGAGGGGGGAGCAATCGAACTCGGGTTCTGACCAAGCAATCGAACCAAGTGTGAAAGCACCCTTAGATATGCCATCTAATGTGTACAAAGAATTAGACAAAATGTTATTTAATTTTATATGGAGGAATAGACATCACTATTTGAGAAAGAACATTTTATGTAAACCAAAGGGCAAAGGTGGATTATCTGTGCTTAGTTTTGAAACTTTAAACAATACAATAATTGGTTAATTAACTTCATGAAAGAAAAGGACAGCATGTGGTATACATTTCCAAAACATGCGTTTGACATGATGGGTGGCATAGATCTTCTGTTGAGATGTGATTTTAAAATTGATAAACTACCTGTGAAATTAGCAAAATTTCACAAACAAGATTTATTGGCCTGGATGCTGGTGTTTAAGCACAATTTTTCCCCAAATAAATATGTTATTTGGAATAATAGATGTATTCAGTATAAAAATAAATCTCTCTTTTATAAAAGTTGGTATGAAAATGATATTGTGTTAGTTGGACAACTTTTAAATTCTAATGGTAATTTATTATCTTATAGTGAATTTTTGGATAAATTTGGTTTTCCAGTTACGCCAAAAGAGTATCCTGTTGTATAAACCTAATAAACTCTTTTGGAGTCAAGCAAAACGTCACCGGGCCCACTCATCGTTTTAATCATACGCTAGATTTAATTAAATCGCATGGAATTGATCTTACTGATATAGATATCGTACCTCAAAGTGATGATATTACTGACCATTTCCTTGTATTGTGCATGCTGCATATTACTGATATTAACTATATGGCTCAGCGTTATCGTCTGGGCAGAACTATTGTTCCAGCCACCAAAGACAGATTCACAAATAACCTGCCTGATTTATCTCAACTGCTCTGTGTACCAATAAGTACACATGAACTAGACGAAATAACTAGCAACATGGGCACTATCTTCTCTAATACATTAGAAGCTGTTGCCCCCATCAAATTGAAAAAGGTTAGAGAAAAACGTACTGCGCCATGGTACAACAGTAATACCCATTCTCTCAAGAAAAAAACTCGTAGTCTTGAGCGCAAATGGAGAAAAACTAACTTGGAAGTTTTTAGAATTGCGTGGAAAAACAGTATGTCCAGCTATAGACAGGCTCTAAAAGCTGCCAGGGCCGAGCATATCCACAAACTCATAGAAAATAACCAAAACAATCCAAGGTTTTTATTTAGCACAGTGGCTAGATGAACAAATAACCAGACGCCACCCGATCTAAATATTCCCTCACAGTTTAATAGCAATGACTTTATGAATTTCTTCACTGAAAAAATAGATAAAATCAGAAATACA